TATATATATATATATATATATGTGTGTATATATAATATGTGTGTATATATATGTATATATATATATATATATACACGTTTAAAATACTAGTCGTTGAATATATACTCACTGGCGCGTTCACCTGCAAACGTTATGAAACGGATTTTCGCAATTCCACGGTAGTTATCGATCGGTTGAAAGCATCGACATGTGAGTTAGAAATATTTCATCGCGGCTGGTTAATCCACCGCGTGTAAGGTTATGAACGTTGACGTTCCCCATTAGCGGGTTGCGGGAAACAGTTCGACGATGGCTCGAAAAATGACGGTTGTCCCGAGACGGTTGAACGCACCAAAGCGAGGAGCGATCGTTTTTTGTCGAATGAGTGGTGCACTCCCGTCTTTATTTTCAGTGACACCGGTGTCTATTTTTAACTGGCTTTGCTTCACCTTCGAAAGCGCCCCCTCGTCGAACGTTGTGTTCGACGTATTGATGCCCTAACCTCGCGCGATCGTCGCCCAGTCTATTGACTATGCAACGTTATTATCTTTTCACTCGACTAAAAATAAATACGGCTTTCATTTCTGTACGAAAATTCGGGGACACTTTTATCATTGCGATCGGCAGAAATATTTGAATTAGTTGTCGGTACGACATCATACGTGTAAAATATCCCGAGATTATTATACGATCGTGCGGGTAAAATTCGAAAAAAAAAAGTACGTACAAATTGTAAATTATTTATCGCAAGCTTTACACTTTACAGAGATCGGCCAGAGTATATTTGACCAAAGTAAATTATTGATTGTATTAACGAGCCGATGTTACGTGGGGCCATCTTTAGAATTAATTCTATATTTAATACCATTATTCACGTTGAATGTATACACGTGTTTCTGTACACAATGTCTGCACAGCTTGCAGCTTTTAAACACATTTTCAGGTTGGTCGGGAATTTTACCGATAAGTCGTATCTCGTTACAATATTAATGAAATTTCATAAAAATTTCACCATACCATACAGAATACATGTACTTATAAAAAGTACTTTTTTACGTGCACTTAGACAGTGACGACTCGTTACTTGAAATTGCCGCAACTTTTGAACATTTATACATTTTTGTTATTTTTTACACGAAATTGTATAAGATTGAGTTACATTTATACATGCAAATATTAAGTGATAATATTTAAAAATTAGGAATGCTGCGTATGCACGAGCCATCCCTGCTTTCAGGTAACCATATATAGGGTGACCACTGAAAAACTGAAGGGTTTGAAAAAGTCATAACTTGTTCGTTCTCAATCTCTTTTATTTTTTTCTTTTCACACGTAATACCGAAAAACATCTATTAATTATATTCCCAAATAAAACGATAAAAAAATTGTTTAAAAAAATGTGTTTGTAAGTTACTTTTGTTTAATATCATTCAGTATTTCAGTGGTCACCCTATATATTTAATAAATCTACGAAATTGAAATTTCATGAAATTTCCTATGTACACCTGTAGAAATAGTTCGTCTAACATGTCCAACAAATGTATACGAAAGAAGAAGGCGGATTTCTATTCGACCATAATTTCATGCTTGTCAAAGAGCGCCCTCTATTATTCCATCTATGCGTGTACATTGAATTTAGGGGAAATCACTGGAACAGAGAAGTAAATCTTGCGAGCATGTCAAAGAAATGAACCCGTTCTTTTATTAGCGAGCTGGCGGTCGCGCTGGCAACCGTAACTATAAGGTGGGTATAGCACAGAGGAGGCTCGCGCGGTTCTCTCGTATCCTTTTCCCGTGATTACAATGCAGGGACGTACGATCGGTGGTGCTGATAACAGTGTTTACAGAATCTGGCCTGGCGTTATCTTCGCCAGCTTCCGCCAACGTCCGTGCTTCTTTCATAAAACTTATGCGGAATTTGTTAACCTTTCATTTACGTTGCTTGACACGGATTAGCAAGATTTCCCTCGGCTAACCTCTATTTTAACCTTTACGGCCAATAACGACGCTATTGCCACGTACGCGCGCGCTGACCTTTTTTCTTTCTTTTTTTTTTTTTTGCGAAAATTTTTCTATGATCCTTCGTAACTGTAACTACTTGTCGCGTGTTTCCAAATTTTACAATATGCGAAGCCTCGTGTCACAACACCAATGAAATTTCAAAACATATTTGTAGATTGAAATCGGACACCCTGTATATTCGTCGAGCCGCAGTATGCGAGTCGAGATCATCATCGTCTTCGTGAAAGAAAAACAGGGAGAATGATAGAAGATTTCAGGATCATCTTGATAATTCGTTGATCAAACAAGGGTCGAAACGTTTGTACGCACGGTATGAAATGTACATCATGTGATTTATGAGGTTAATTAGCCTTTAGCGTTTCACTTTTAAGGTTATACGCCGGCAGTCGAAGGTAGGTTCGAAATTTGTACAGTCCAGATATGATCAAAGGTAATCTCGTGAAGGAAAAATTCGATTCGATGCATGCATGCGCGTGGTCGTTGCTATAAAATTGGAAAAACGTGAATAAGCGCTTGCAAAACAACCAATATACGCTCTGATAACTTCACGTTTTCCGATAGGTTAGGTCAGGGACCAGAGTGGAATTTCGAATCTCGATATGTACATACGCGGCCCGTACGTATCTTCCTCTTTGGTTTCATTCGCTGTTCATTGCCACGGGATAAGAATATTTCTCTCCCCTTTGACAAATATTTTATTTGTAAAACACTGCAAGTCATACACGTGTGTTTCCCAAGGCAGCGTTTTTATGACAGCGAAATATCCCCTGCCGATTCTTATCATATGTTCGATCGCTTTTTAATTATTTTATCAATCACAAAGTACAGTTACTGTTAATAATCATCCTCGCGAAACAAGCGTGGCAATAAAACAAAATAAATACTTGGAATTTGATCTTAATTTCATCTAATTTCGTTTGATTATCAGGATTACTGCAATATGTATGATTTCTACTCTTACGTAGTTGAAACGAATGACACTTCGAGATTCAATTTTGATGATCGATATTCGACAGTAAAACAGAAATTCACAACAATTTCCATGACTTTTAGTCTCCATGGTTACATAACCTCTCTGCGGTGATTTTGTTCCGTTGTGGCGCAATTAAAATTCCCCAACTGGGAATTGTCAAGTCGCAGCAGCTTGCCAATGCGTCGTTATCAATATTGTTAAATTGCAGACAGGCATGTTTCTTCTAAAATGCCGAAGCGCGTTCTGCCCGTGAGAAATTCGTCGATCGTTATAACACGACATAAACACGACAGTGAGCCTCTAATGAAAACGATCGAACGCAAGTGGAAAGCCGTCCTCCGTGTCGCCG